CGATGCCGGTAGCGACAAAAACTGCGGGGAACTCTGCAAAAAACGCATCTTCGCACGGGCAGCCCCGTGCGTTGGCCAATTTTTTATAGATCTTATGTAGTCACTATGGCAAAACAATCTCTCAAGAAAAACTTTTAGCTGCCAAGAATACCAAGACTATTCAGGCTATCAGTGTGGGCATTCACTGTTAGTGATGTTACTAGTATACTTCCATATACCAAGCGCAATTATGCCAAGTCCTTCCATCCTGAACTACATGCATTCAGCTAGTTCTTACCGTTTGTGCACTGCTCGAATGGCCGCTTACTTTCACACAGATACCACTCACTAATACACCAACTCCCCATAGAAGTGAAGGAAACAAAAAAAAAAATAATTAAGGAATTCAACAATAATAAGTGAGAGAAGCATTTCGTGAGAAGTGTTAAATAAAAAATAGTAAGAATAGGCCTTCGGAAACGATATTACCCCCTGACTCCACACACGGAACCCAGTTTTATACAGAATCACTACTTGTCGCTTTTCGACAAAATCCAGTAACTATTTTTCTTCGGTCTGCGTTGTCGAAAATTCGAAGTAAAAGCATATAACTGTTAGCAAAGGGTTTCTAAGGAATTAGCAGCTCAGAAGAAATGCAAAAATGCAGATGCGAGTATCAGTCTCTGTGACATTTCAAGGATGCGCCAAAATGGCTTTTGAAATTTCAGCCCTCCAAGACTCCGATGCACGACAGCGCAGTGATCGTGCCTCGCAATTTGCTTTCAGTTTTGCTAGCCACAGTCTTACAGAAAATACGAAATTTTGAAAAAAAAAAAAAAAAAAAAACTTTGTGAATTGAATGGATCGAATGGATTGTCGTAAGACGACGAAAAGAGGAAATGAAATAGATTGTGAAGCGCATGTGTATTATGAAAAGTTAAGAAGATGTAAGGAGGACATTTAGGGAAGCTAAATGTGAAACTGGCTATCTGTGTTTCATCCCTAAGCTGCAAACACAGACAGTATGCGGTGTGGACTGGGATGGGAATCATCAGTGTGGAAACCGCTCTGGATTCACCCCTGGCTAAGAGCATTTCATCCAGCTAGATTACGAACAGAGTGCATTCACGATAGCTTCTACTTAGTCTTTTATAGGGGGGGGGGGCCTTTCATTGAACTGGGGTGATTTTTCCAT